GCTCCAGGAAGACATGCATTGGGGCAGAACTCTCCCAGCCAAATTGAATGGATAGAACTGATTAAAAACATAATTCCCTTCTCAGGACAGAACTGCTGCTTAATATGGCAGTGGACTGCCTCAAGTCAGATTGCTATGCACCTACAGAATTCATTTGTCCATTGCTTTACTTTGCATTGTAATTGAGATTGCGTGTACTATGAGCTTACACGAGAACATGGAGAAAGACGGGCTGGTCCTGAAGTCTTCACTTTTCTTAGCCCAATTCTTAAACCTCCACAAAATTTGCTGCAAGTTTGCAGGAAGAGGAATTTACCAGGCAGGGGAGCAGGGAAAGGAGGCTACTGTTATTGCTGCTGTTTGTTAGCTGTTTGTTGGAAATAAAGAGCCACTTTGCAAAGAGGCAGCCTGTCGCTCCAAATGAGTAAGGGGGAACCTGCCTCCCTCCGGCAGCCACACAAAACAGCAGCTGTCTGCGGTGCTCTCTGGCTAGAGCGGCAATGGGCCGTTCTTGCCAAGTGGCTCTATGGTGTGGGGTTTGGTACCACAACGCGTTCGGCTTCCCAGGTGTGTGTGACGCAGCAGGCCACTTCTGTTTGTGACTTCCAAAAGCCACAGCAGAGTTCTGATGGCACAACAGGCCGACGATAGCACAGAGCTACCATGGCTTGCTGTGCCGTGCAAGGCTGTCCATGCGGAAGGCAAGCACGGTTTCAGCAAATGGCCCAGAGTGATGCTCCAGCCCGTTGTGAGGTGGAGTGTGATGTCAGCTGGGGTCTCAAAGTCTAAGGGCCCTCCTGTGAAAACCCCCAGGAGGGGTGCGACCCCATCTTCCTTCTGCACACAGCCCATGTGGATTTGCCCCACATTGCGACAGTCTCTCCCTCCTAGACCACCTTGGTCAACCCGTCCTGCCCCTCCCTGTGTGGGTCAGCTTCACTGTCTATTTGGGCACGGAAGCCGCACCTCGCAAGGATCCGCTCCTGGGCTGGGGGCAGGAGCAGAGGAAGCAGGCGCACCAGCGCGCTCAGACTGATGGCACGGAAACCCTGTGGCATCCTGGATTCCCCTCCTGCCCCATCTGAGCAGAGGACTCAGCTGGTGTGCAGATATCCAGATGCCAGGGAGCCTCCTCTGCTGCTCACCTGGAGTGCAGGCGCAAGCCCATTTTCTGCCACCAGAATGCCACCTGTCTTCTGTGGGGACTGGACCAGCACACCTTCTGGCACCCCAAACCTCTCTGTGCTCCAGGGGGGCTGCAGTGCACCCTCCTTCCTGTGCTCTAGCAGCCGCTCCCTGGGCACCCCTTGCCCTCCTGCCTCACAGCTGCTCTCCTCAAGCCCCTTTCCTTCTCTGCATGAGAAAGATGTGCTGTTTGGAGCCATGCTGCTCTGGGGCTCCGGGTGGCATCTCCCACAAGGCCACTGCCAAATGAATGTGGAGCAGTGGCGAAGGTCAGCACACCAGCCTCGGTGCTTGGATCTAGCAAGCAAAACGCTGCACATCCAAGAGAGACAACCATTCTTTTGAGTCAAAGCTGAGCGTTTTGATGCCCTTTTGTCCCACTGCAGATGGCTGCCGGCATTTTGCCAGGCCCTTCCAGGTTTGGGTTCTTGGATGAGAACAGATGATAGGCTTCCTTTTAGCCTTTCCGAGTTCATTTCCTTTTAAGACCGCTTAGAAATGAATGAATGAATGAATGAATGAATAAGAGGAGTTTATGTTTACTAGGCTGGAAGTAACTGAAACAAAGGCAAAATGTCTCGATGAGGTGGTAAACGGAGTTTGCTCTTTTAACAAGCAGTTGGCTTCCTCCTCTGTGTGCATTTGCTCTGCTTTGTGGATCAATAAGGGGGAAAGAGAGAATATCTTGCCTGCTGAAACTGTATTTCACTCCCACGCAGTGAAGTTAGCTGTCAAGAAAGCGATTGCTTGTGTGAGGGCACTTTTAGGCGTGAATACGGAGACTGTGATTCCTGATTCCCAGTCTTTTCAGTGTGCTTTTGGGACCTCCATCTCTCCTGCTAGGACATCTCTAGCCAAAGCTGTTCTTTTTCAACATCAGGACTAGGAGGACTGCCAGCTGCTCCAGAATGCCTTGGCTGGCCTGCTCTCTCCCACAGCTGCCAAGCTACTGAAATCCCCCGTGATGCGTTCCATGGAGGCGAGATCATGACGCTTAAAAGCACAGGGGCTGGAACCAGGGAACCCGTGGCTCGCGGGGGGTTTCAGGAGGTACCGGGGCATTTTGATTCTCATCACAGCCCCACAGGTCTTTCTGGAGTGGCAGTGGCAGAGCTGCAGTGGGCACTCACGCACACGGCACCCACTGCTAAACACATCTGCGCATTCTGGGGCCATGTGCTTCCTTGCTCAGGGTCCCAGTTCAGGACATTTGGAAATGTTCCCAGCGCGGCTGTCAGGGAATCTGACAGCACCGACACCAAAGAGTGTTGCAGGCAAGGTTTCACAAGAACCTGATGGAGCAGAAACCCCAACCCTGGCGCTGGCATCACGAACTTTAGGAAAACATTATTTGGGGCATAATTTCCTCTCCCACCCCACCAGGAGAAAAACGAAGGCAAGTGCACATCACGGCACAACGGCCTTAGGAGCGTTATGCTGCACAGTCCGCGGTGTTGCTGCCGCCCGTGTCACGTGGACGACATCGCACGACTCCTGCTGGATGAGCCCCTTCGCCTTGGCTTCCAATCCCGTCAGCCCGACCACGTGGCCAATGACTTAGAATGCTGGGAACTGCAGTCCGAAACATCCGGGGGTACCAGATTGGAGCAGCCAGTGTGGAGTGTGTTCAGCTTGGCTTAACCCTAGCCCCAAGCCTCCGGCTCTCCCGCACTCACCCAGGGGCAGCTGGAGCATCGGGGGAGCTGCATGCCGCCTCTCCTGCCCCGCGGCTGCCGCCGGGCACCAGCGCCAAGGGCCCGCCGAGGCCCCCTGCGAGAGGGAAAGCTGCCGGCCGCACACGGTGGGCTGGAATGCAGAAGCCGCACATGCAGCTCCAGCACGGCTGGAATTGGAGGCAGGAGCAAAGAGGGGCAGTCCTGTTTATTCGGGATTATTTTTAGACTGCCTGTCGGCACGGACCTCCGAACGTTTGGTTTGTCAGAGCGAGTTTGCTTTCACCCCATCTCCCTGGCCAGACGGCCTGCCCGCCTCATCTAGCTGCGCAGGGAAGCTGACCGAGCGGGCATGGAGGGGCTGCTGGCTGGGCAGCACCTGCCCCCGCCCTCCCACCTGGAGCCCCAGCCCCAGGCTGGCACCAGCCCACAGCTCGTGTGGGTGGGAGGGGCCCAGCCGGTCAGCCCCGCGGCGGCAGCAGAACCCGTGTGCTGGGGACACCTGGGCTGCACAGGCCCCACGGCCCGGGTGGCAAGCTGGCACTCCGGGCTCCTCCTAAGCTGCCCAAACAGCCAAGGCCCAAGGGAGCCAGGGGCCGCACGGCTGCGCTGGCCAGCCCTGGGTGCCCTCTCTCATCCCTCAGCGGAGGCTGTGGCTCCAGCCGGGCCTCCCCTCCCACAGCAGCCCCTCCGCCCAGGTAGCCCCCGGCCATGGGGCCTTTCAGTGGCCGGATGGGCACCTCTGCCTGGGCGTCTGCCTCCTGCGCTCCTGGGGATCCAGGCGCAGCTTCAGCTGGAGCCAGCCACGTGGCGGGAGCCCAGGCCAGGCATCCGTGCGATCGGTCCTCGGCCTGCTGCTGGGTCGCGGCAGGTTGTGGCCCTCTGCAGGCGGGGGGCCGTGCCCCCGGCCTCTTCCTTTCTGGGGTGCGGGTCGGGCAGGATCCTGGCAGGCAGGGAGCGTGGCCACCAAGAAGGGGGGGGGTGGAGGCCAGCCCCCAGCCCAGCGGGGCTCCCGTTGACCTCTGTGTGACCAACGGCCGTGCAGTTCCTGCTGGGGGCTCCGCCACCCGTGGCACAATGGCCAAGGAGACTGTCAGGGCCGGAGGGCTGGCTGCTCGGTGGGAGACACGCCTCTGCAGCCACCTTTCGTGCCAGGGAGCAAAAGCTTCCGGCAGAAGTTGATGAAATGCTGCAGCGCGGTCAGGAGGACGGGGTGCAGCGGAGGCCCCCCAGGCCCCCCCATGGCCTGAATGGCACAGAGGCTGGACGGGAAGGGAGAGGCTGGGTGGAAGGGCACGATGGCCAGAGAGTGGAAGCGTGGCGTGCAGGCCAGGCGGGTGCCAAGCCGCCCTTGGGGCGTGAGGGCTGCTGAGTCCTCTGGGCCTGGTGAGGGGGCAGCGAGGAGGAGCTTCCAAGCTAGGGTGGCGTGGAGCGCTTTGGCAGGGCCCCTGCGATGCCTTGCCGGGTCAGCCCATGCATTCCAGGCTGACTCCAGGCAAAGGGTGCGCCGCTCCTTGCCACCGTGTGCCGTTGAAGCTGGCCAGGGCGTCCCGAGCGATGGCCGCCCACAGCTGGGGTGCCTGGCGCTGGAGGGCCTGGTGAGCGGCTGGAGGGCAGGGGAAGGGGCTGCCTGGAAGCTGTGCCAGGGGCTCTTCCCAGGACTGCTGCCCCTGGAGATCCCAGGCGCTGTCCTGGACGGGCCTCGGTTGCGGCCCCTGCATTGGTCCAAGCTCCGTTTTCTGGTCTGCAGCTCTTTTAACTTGCGCCAGCGCTTGCAATGTTTTTGGCTTATGTCGCTTTTGTCCTGGTGTCGAGTCTCCGGACGGGGAAGGTCCGGCCACGACTCTCCCAGGTGAAGGCACAGCTCCTCGGAGAGCAATCCCAGGGCCCGAGGCGCGGCCGGGCGCCGCCCGCTGCCCAGGGCGCTGCCCAGCAGGCACTCTGCACGTGTGCAGAGGCGTCCGGGCGCCCGCGCGGATCAGCCCCCGCCCTCGCCTCGGGAGGGCGCCGCGCGAGGGCGATGCGGCGGGGGCGGGGCCGGGCCGCGGGGCGGGGCCCGGGCTGCGGAGGGGCGGGGGCGGCGCGCGCCGCTTCTGCCCAGCTGCGGCCAGAGGTGTCGCGCGCCGCAGCTGCAGCAGCAGCAGCACCACCAGCAGCAGCATCCTCGCCCTCCGCCGCCCGCGCTCCCTGCCTGCTTGCGAGGCGCCGCGCTGGGCTGCCGGAGAGACCATGGCCGACCCGACGGCGGCCGCCGCCGCGGCGTCGCCCCCCGCCGAGCCGGAGGGCGAGGAGGGCCACGTCCGTTTCGCCCGCAAAGGCGCGCTCCGGCAGAAGAACGTGCACGAGGTCAAGAACCACAAGTTCACCGCCCGCTTCTTCAAGCAGCCCACCTTCTGCAGCCACTGCACCGACTTCATCTGGTGAGCGCGGGGCGCGGGCGCTTCCCCCCCCCCCCCCCCGGCGTTGTGCTTGCCCGGCAGCTCCCTCGCCCCGCACAGGCGAGCGGCCGCCCTCGCGCCGCTTTCCCCGGGCTGCCCGCGCCCTCCTCGGCACCCGCCGGCCTCGACCTGGCGGGCACGGCCAAGCAGGCCTTCCCCGGGCGGCTCCCCGGCCGGAGCGGTCCTGCCCTCTCCATCCCCCGGCGTGTCCCTCTCGCCTCCGGAAAGCCAGCGCCGCCACCCCGGGGTGCTGCCGCCCTTCTGCTCCCGGCTTGCCCGTGGGGCCCCCCGCCCACGCGAGCGCCCCCGGTGCCGGAGCGGCGCGCGGGCTGCGCCCCGCCGCGCCCGCCGCCCCTCGAGCGGGCAGCCCCCG